GGCAAATAGAATTTAATAAGTATGAAACACTGAGTTGGATCAGTGATGTGCATGAAACAGTTTCACTGGGTTGTATCAGTGATGAAGATGAAACATGATATAAGTGAAATGTGATGTAGGTGAAACATGATATATATGAAACAAATGATGTAGGTGAAATGCACCAAGTGATGGGATCAATTGTAATGGTACAGGGTCAATGACAAATAGTAAGGAAAAGAAAAGAACCCCCCCTCAAACCTGTAATATTACCCCCCTCTCCAGATTCATCATTACAGTTGCTACTGTGCATGGTGCTCCTTTAAGTAGCCTGGTTCTTTGGTAGAACAAGGGGACTGCCCAAGTTGGATGTCAATTGCTGTGCAGAATTTGTGGCATGGATGAAGCAACCCACAAGAGGAACATACCCAATGCCAACATTCACTCTGTAGATGTCCCTCACCTTCACATTTAGTGCAGAGACAGAGCCATCAAGGCATGGTGCCAGAAGATGGAGTGTTCATAGAGAACTCATGATGTTTGAATTGTTCCTCTAAGTTTGTGGCCTTGAGACAAGTCCAATACTGACTCATTTCCTCTTCAGTTTGAAGGAGTTCTGCACCTATAGATCTCCAGGCAGCAAGTAGTAGATCAATCTTAGTGTCAACAGCTCTGAAACAATTAATGTTACAGCACAAGGGGGGGGTTTCTTTTTCTTTCCTAACCATTCATCATTGACCCTGTACTATACAACTGATCCCATCACTTGATATGTTCATTGATATCAAGCGTTTCACAACCATCACTTGTCACCTGTCTCTTATTTCACCTACATCACGTCTCATATCTATCCTATTTCATCTCTATCACTGATACAACCCAGTGACACCTGTTTCATGTATATCACTGATCCAACTCAGTGTTTCATACTTATTAAACCCTATTCGCTTAGCACTATTTAAGTAGCACTACTTGCGCTACTATACTTTAGTTTTGTCCTCTTGTTCCCTACGTACCTTCATAGG